TTAACATCGTTGAGTCCAACCATTAACCCAGCACTGACAAGTCCACCACTAAACCATGTCCCTCAGCATTGTTTCTACAAGTCTTTTAAATCTCTCTGGGGATGGGGACTCCACCACTGCCTAGGACAGCCTGGGACAGGCCTGGACAATTTCTTCCCCTTTTGGGGAAGAAATTTTTCCTCATGTCCAACCTAAACCTCCCCTGGGGCAACTTGAGGCCATTTCCTCTTGTTCTATTGCTTGCTCCCTGGGAGCAGAGCCCGACCCCCCCCTGGCTCCAGGCTCCTGTCAGGAGCTGTGCAGAGCCAGAAGGTCTCCCCTGAGCCTCCTTTGCTCCAGGCTCAGCACCCCCAGCTCCCTCAGCTGCTCCTCCCCACACTTGGGCTCTAGACCCTTCCCCAGCTTCACTGCCCTTCTCTGGCCACACCCAGTGTCCTTCTTGGACAGAGTAACCCAAAACTGAGCCCAGGATTCGAGGTGTGTCCTCCCCAGTGCCCAGTCCAGGGGGCCAATCCCTGCCCTGGTGCTCCTGGCCGTGCTGATTTCTGCCCATTCCTTGATTCTGATGTTAGTTTTCACCTCAGCTGCTTTGAGACTTCCCCAGCCTCTCTGAGTGGAGGCAGCTTCTTCCTATCCTTGCTGCCTTGCACTCTAGGAAAGGCCTGGCACGTATAATTTATGGAATAAAAAAGTGAAAGTGCAGCAAATGAGTAAGCATGACAAGTACAGCTGTCCTGGCTCTCTCCCCCAGAAACAGCAGCAGCAGCCACTCTTTGAAGGTAAAGTACGTGTGCTGCCTGCTGTCTTCTAGGAAGAACAAGTGGAGGAAGGTGAACCCCCCCCTTAGACCTTCTCCTGAGTGGTGGCAAGGACCCTTTCTGGGGCAGCTGATGCCACGTGGCCTCTAGCAGATGACATCAGCAGTGGATCCTTTTCTGGAAGGGTGTTTAAAGGTGTATTTAGTGGCCAAACCATAGATCTCTTCCTTGAACTCCATCCAGAATCTTTCATCAGCTTCTACCTGGCCCTCTTCCCTCGTTTGCTTTCCCCAGGTTGATGTTATTGCTGGTTTGCTGGTTTTCTTCTGTTTGGTTTTCAGCTGGTGGAGGTAACACATCCTGGTCGTGGCTGCTCTTCTGAGGCTGGGACAAAGATGATCCAGGGGCTGGAGCATCTCTGCTCTGAGGACAGGCTGAGGGCACTGGGGTTGTTCAGCCTGGAGAAGACTCTGGGGGGACCTTAGAACTGCCTCCAGTACCTGAAGGGACCCTCCAGGAAGGCTGGCGAGGGACTTGGCACAAGAGTATCCAGCGATAGGACAAGGGGAAATGGTTTAAACTGGACGAGAGCAGGTTTGGGCTGTATCTTAGGAAGTTCTTCAGTCTGAGGGGGGCCAGGCTGTGGACTAGATTGCCCAGAGGGGCTGGGGCTGCCCCTCCCTGGAGGTGTTCAAGGCCTTGAGCAACCTGGTCTAGCTGAGAGGTGTCCCTGCCCATGGCAGGGAGGTTGGATGAGATGATCTCCAGGCTCCCTTCCAACCTCAGCCACTCCATGAGTCTATGCCTGTGAGTGTGGGAGCTGCAGCACCCACTCCTTGAGGCTTTGGGGCTTCCCAAGGAGCAGTGGTGGGTCACTGCAGAGCGAGGGGAGGACTCGAGGCCACAGCACTGGACTGCAGCAGAGAGTGGGAGAGGTGGGGACCTGCAGAAGGCAGCTGGTCGAGGGCTCTGTGAGCTGGCAGAACCAAGTCTCAGCACAGCAGAGCCAGGGACCTGCTGGAGCGGGGCCAGAGGAGCCCCAGCAATGCCCCGAGGGGGGAACCCCTCTGCTGGGAGCCCAGCAGGAGAGAGCTGGGCTGGGGCAGGCACCGCGGAGCAGGCCC